AGCAACAATAGTGTAGTTTAGGAATAACATTAGTAATACATTAATATCCAATTGATATATCCATGTATTTTTATTTTTCTACTTGATATTATATAATAAAAAAATAAATAAAAAAAAAAAAAAATATTAGCTCCATTATCACTAACTATAACTGAAAAATGATCTATACCAACAGAATCTAAAACTTCATTAATTTTGTCAGCTAAAAATTGTCCTGTATGTATTTCATTTAAAAAATTACAAAGTTTGTATAAATATTTTTTATGTTTAGGAGTAATAATTATAAAATTCCATATTGAATAATTTTTCTTATTAGTTCAACTATCTAATGCTAGATTAAATTTAATTAGTTATAATTTATTTATTTAAAAAATATATAAAATATATTTATCTAAGGTTAAATTTAAATATTGTTAAAATATTTTATTAGTTTTTTGATTAATAATAGCTAATTGTTGTTCTAACAAATAGCCTGATAAATATTGATGTGTTGGTGGATTATAAGATAAATTTGTTTCTTTTAATGCTTCAATAAAAAAAGGATTTTCAATAATATTCCAAGAAATTCCACAAATAGCAATAGCTTTAGCCCAGACAAGATGAATTTTTTTGATTTTTTGCTGATCTAATTCTATTATACTAACATATTGATTAAGTTTTTCTTGAGTAATACTTTTTCTTTTTTTATTAGATTTATCTTTTTCTAAATGATTTAAAAGAATTCTTGTAAGAAATTTTCTTATAATTGTTGAATCTGCTTTTGTATAATGATTGGCTAGATGACTTTCTAATTCAGCTAGTTCACCATGATTCCAAGATGTTCCACACAAATTACAAGTTGCTTTATATTTTCCTTTTGCTACTTTTTCTCCTCTAGTAAAATATTCCCAAACTGGACTATATGAATGACCACCAATATTTTTTTTGCCTTTATCTATAGTAGAAATTGATATGTTAGAATTTTCTTCACTAGAACTCATTTTAAAAATAATATCTAATATTATAAAAATAAATATAAATAAATCAGTATTAATTAAATTAAATATAATATATTAATTTAATAAAATAATATATATATAATTCATATTAGATTATTATTCTAAACTATATTTAAAATTAAAATTGGTTTAATTTTTTTATTTGATAGTAATAATAAAGTTTTTTTAATATATATAAATTTCTATTTCAATTCTAGTATTTAAA